ATTGGAATTGGGTGAAGGAAAAAAGGGACAAACAACTTTATTGTCTACAAGGGCCAGACCAAATAACACATTTCTGAATGAAGGTGTTATTATAGCAAGGTATAGGATAGTGTATTGTTTAGGAATTGGTTAATCTGGTCAATTGCAGTCTTACAAGGTATATGGTGTTATTACAAGTGGTGAACTGTATATGTTTCATACAGTAGGTATGATGTATAGATATATTCTTGTAAAGTGTGTTAGATGTATAGGTTTTGCTAATGGACAAATAGTATTTAGAAAGTCACGATGTAAATATGGAGATGTTTGAAATAGACTGTTTATTAGATTAGAAGAGAAATTCCTTCTACTGTGTTATAACCTTATAGCAGACAGAAAGACTCTTATTAATGAAATAATTTGTGTTTGGATACAGAGACTTAAATCTCTCCAGATTATTTAAACTTGTTCATAAGTATAGGATTATTGATGATAATAAAATATTGATATATATAGATAAGAATATTGATGATATTAAAAGCTTAATATATATATATAGGTAAGAGTATAGAGATTATATGTACATAGAATGTCAGGAGGCATTCCATGGAAAAGGTATTTGTACAGAAGTGATTATAATAATATGATTATAACTGTATTTATGTTTGCATTGGTTGCCCTAAGGCTGGAGCGGCCTAGCTGTGAGGAGTGTGTTACCATGGAAACGATGCTGCAGAGGAGTGGGAGGAGCTTAGAGAAGAGTGTTTTTGAAAAGCGACAGTTAAGAGTCAGTCAGGTTGGAGATTCTGAGAAGGGAAGAGTCAGGTTGGAGACTCTGAGAAGGGAAGAGTCAGGAGAGAGACTCTGAGAAGGGAAGAGTCAGGAGAGAAACAGTGTTCGTGAATAGTCAGAGATTTCTTCAGTTAGGAAAGCTGAAGAGGAAAACCTTATTAGTTTCTTTAGTTAGAAAGAACTAACAAAGGCTTGTTTAGATCCCTAGTTAAAAGAACTAGAGATCTGGTGTTTGATCATAGAAGAATCAAACGGGGAGACTATTCACCACAGTAAAACATTGTTTATTGAAGTGCTTCACCACAGCAAGAGTTTCATAAGTTGTAACATCGAAAGTCTGAACTGTATCACAACCAAGTTACATGTATCGTTCTCTAAGTATTTCCCAGCTTAACATCAAACTGCAACCATACGCTTTGTTTCAAATAAACTTGTTCTCTTTGGTTTTTAAAACTGCCTCACCTCCATTTATTCTACGCTCGGTGTACCCAATCTACCATAATTACCTCACAACACAAATAGGGTGGCATCCAGTGATATAAACACAAGAGCCTTTTACAATTTGGTGCCGGCTTGTAGTGGACTCCTTTGCAGTATTGTATTTACTATGCTAGATAGTTTATATGCAGTGTTATAATGTATTTAACATGTTTTTCTCCCTTACAGGAATGTATTTATTGTGTATAATGTATTTATGATATATTGATTGCAAAATGTATTTACTGCATAAATGTTTTATTGCATAAGGTGTTTATTGCAAATGTAAGTATGTACAGAGATAGATAGATTAGCTAGAATAGATAGTAAGGGGGGTTAGTTAGGCCTAGTATAGTGTTAGGCTTTGCTTCGGAAAAGGTCTGCAAACCTTTTCACTCCGCAAACCATCTTGAGGTGGGGAGGGAATGTAAGATCCCTTACCTTGCCAGCCAGGGTGGCAGGGCCCAGGAAGAGACAGGCTAGGTAGTTTCAGCTTAGAAGGCCTGGCAGAGAGCTGCTGGAGCCATCTTAGTTTAGGGAAGCTCCAGTTCAGAGAGGGGGAGTGGCCTAGGCCTGAGCCAGCCCAGCAACAGCCAGGATTGGTTTGGAAAAGGGGGGCGGAGTTAGCCAGTTGGAGGGAAAGAGAGCAGATTATTTTGACAGTTCAGTTCAGTTCTGGGTGAGGTTAGAGTAGGATTTGGAGTTTTAGGAGTCTGTGTTAGGAATAGGCAGCTTGCCTGTAGTTTGCACAGCAAAGTAGGCTGTGGCAGACTGAGTTACAGCTATTTTAGGAAAGAAAATAGCTGGGTTTTGTGTTAGGAATTGTAACAAAGAATAGAACCATTCTCTCAAGTAACCGTTACGCTTCTAAGAACCAAGAACACTTTTATTGTAACAGCCAAGCCTCTGAACCTGCATTCACTTTTATTCTGTAACTTGTATTCAATAAACTCTTTCTTGTTATTTTTAAAATTTAAGCCTGAGTCAAGTGCCATTTTTGGTTGGAGTCCTTTTCCTTGTTGAATCAACCTCTCCTGTTTCCCCTCAAAGAAAGCCCTTGATAATACACAGTATTTGGTGGAGTAAAAAAAAGCCTTTTAATAATTTAAACAGCCTTTTAGCAGTCTAAATAGCTAGAGGGTTCGTGATTCTTCAGTTTATGGTGGCAGCGAAGGTTTTAAAGAAAGAGACATCCCTTCAAACGCTATAAGAGCCAAAGTGGTGTGAATTCCTTATTGAAGGAGGGACAGTGTTGGGATCTGCTTGCCCCCTGTCCAGTGATATTGTTTGGCCATCAAGAAATTATATCATTATAATTTGGTGGCAGAGGTGGGATTCTTTGACCCCCCTGCCCAGACGGCCAATTAAGGAGTCCTTATATAGGGCATCAACAAGACCTTGATGCTTGTGTCCTTTCTAGAGAGATTTGACAGTTATTATGCAGCGAAGATAATTCATGGTTCCATAAATTGAGCTTCACAAATGAAACCCTTTCATATAAGCCTAAATAAATACAATTCTTTGTATTAGGGAAATTGCATCAATTGGATTTACTAGTATGTTGAGTTGTCAGTTAACATCTGACTCATCCAGCTATTGATTCAACAGGTCTACTTGGTTGGATCCAACCAGAAGGATTCTGAATGCTCAGTTGCACAAAGTACCATATTTTCTGGCATATAAGATGACTGGGCGTATAAGACAACCCTCAACTTTTCCAGTTAAAATATAGAGTTTGGGAGATACTCGCCATATAAGACTACCCCTCTTCCAATGCACACCAAATAAAAATTTAAAAAACATCAAATTTGATTTCAATATGGTAATTTTCCTATTGTAGCTCCTTCCTGTAGCTCCTTCTCTGCCTCTCAGATCTCGCACCTGCGCACCTGCACTGCTTCCCTGCAGTCTTCAGGAGCGATTTGTGAGAGGCAGAGGAGGAGGTATGGTAATAGGATACAAGGGCGAGCCAGGCAGGTAGAAGAGGTGTGTTTTTCTGGGCCCAGAGCCACTCTATCTCTTTTTTCCATACCCTGGGCGCCCTGCAGCTTGCTCCGCCCTTCACATACGCCTTCTTGGTGAGGTGCCCCTTCACCTCACCATCGGGACCGCATTAAGTCCACAAATCCTGATGAATGGATTTTCTTCTACCGTACTTGTACAGCATCGCCCTTAACGCTTTCATACAGTCACTGCATACAGCAGGGACGCGGCGACTGCCATTTTTGAGCTCCCCCCACAATATATGGCAACCACAGATTCTCCAATCCGGACTGGAAATTTCAGCACCTGCTCTATAAGATGGCTCCGGCACATAAGACTACTCCCGTGTATAAGCTGACTCCCGCGTATAAGCCGACTCCTGCATATAAGACGACCCCTGACTTTTGAGAAGATTTTCTTGGGTTAAAAAGTAGTCTTATATGCCAGAAAATATGGTATGTAAAACTGTGCCTTCAGTGTTTCATATTATTCACTGAAATCAGGGAAATAATCGCTGTGAATTCCCCACTGTACAGTGCAAAAATGGACACTCACACCGGCAGAAACACAATGGACTACACAAAGCTGCATTCAGAAGAAGGATGATATAGCCCAATCACTACCTAAATAAGTGAATGCAGAATTACATTATCCAAGAATTATCTAGGACTGTGTTTCTCAAACTCTGCTCCTCCAGGTGTTTTGGACTTCAATTCCCAGGCAGATTACCAGCTGTTAGCAACTGTGGGAGCTGAAGTCCAAAACATCTGGAGGAGCAGAATTTGAGAAACACTGATCTAGGATAGTGGTCAATATATTTCATAGAATCCTGAAAATCTGCACAACTGTATCATAAATGTGTGCGTTCAGCTTTTACAGCTCTGAGAAGAAAATTTAGATCATGTTTTTTCTAATGAAGTCCCTGTTCTCAAATTATCTGAGATTATGTTGTTTTTTTCCGTTGTAACCACCAGTGGAACATGGGAGGTTAACTTCTCAAGCTATATTTTTGCAAGCATAGACTGAGAGAACCTACAATGGTCTGAATTGTAAGGGATACAGAAAATCACAGACAGCTGAAAGAAGTCACTACATGAGAAAAGTCATGGGTCATGACTCTCTCGCCATATAGACAACTGTGCTTCCCCAGATGATCCTTCCAGGGCAAAAGAAACATGTTTTGATCATCCTGTTGATAACTTGCTGCCACCTAGTGCTTATATCAGTCCATTGCATTTCTAACTAACCTCTTTTCTCTTACTCTGCAATCTGCAAACAAGAGATGTGTCTCCTCAAATTGAATCAGGTGGGTCAGTGGTTCTCAAACTTTGACCTTCTGTGCATTTTGGAGTCTGTGCTTCTGAGTCTGTTCAGGGACTTCCAAGTTGCCCATCCTTGGTTATCCAAAAGCATTGCTTTACCATGCTATGCTAAGCCATGATGAATTGAATTTCCTAATGGAAATGTGGACCTTCCATTCCCTACATATGTACATTTTTTATGTATTGTGACTGGGAAACACACTAATGAGAGATATTTCATACATCAACCCTACTGTATATCACAAAACAACAAACTTCAATAGCTGGTGGAAATTTCACAGAACAAATAAAAATTCTCATGTTCCTTCCTTTATTCATTTCAGGCTATGTCGTGTTTCAACATAAAGTGAAAGAGATTTTTGGGGTAAAAATGGGAGTTACCTGTTTGATTTCATTGGCTGCTCATAAGGAGTTTGCTGAATAGCATATTCCTGATACCCTCTTCGCTGAGAAGAGTCTGATACCACTGTCTCTGGATTAGTCAGCTGCTCTGTTTCAGAAGAAGCCGCTTCCACTGGAACTATTTTTGTAGCTCCTGCAAGCAAAATTAAAGTCTATAATTCATTACAGATATTTATTACTAATTGCTTATAAATCCTACCAAATAAAAAGCAAGAAGAACACACAGTAGGTGACAATTCTGTTAATTGTTGAATAACATGTGTAAATGAAAGTTAGATGGTACTCTATTATCATTTATGTGGAAAAGCAAAAGAAACCTACAAAAAACCTAATTGGGTTCCCTTTAGACCTTCAGAACTGTCAAAGTAGAAAGAAAAAAGGCTCCTTTGCCCACCAAGATGCAGGAACATATGTAATGTATCATTATATTTATTTACATCCTGCCATTATCCTAAAATTGGGACTCAAGGCAGATGACAATTAAAAACAATTAAACGTATATTAAAATTGAATATTTTCCCCCCTCTTCCCCTACCCCAACACTTTTAATATTAAAATATGGCATGCTAATGAATAACAACCCTTCAGATGTACCCTTGAAAACCCACAATAAAAATTATATTTAAAAAATTGAATATTTAAAATTGAATTTAATGACTAGCACTGTTAAAATGATTTAAAACTAAACTTAAAAAAGATTAAATGCAGTTGAAAGATAAAAAGCAAGTAAAACAGTTCTGTGTGAAACCATACAGAGCCTTTAATCCATTCTTTTAAAACTCAATGTTTAAAAGCTGCCCAGAATAAAAAAGTTGTTTTCCAGGCAACGGAAGGGCCTGGGAAGGAAGTTTCAGAGTCTAGGAACAGTCACTGAAATGGTCCCACTTTATTTATTTACTTACTTACTTACTATACCACCACTCTCACCCTTTGGGGGGGGGGGGCTCAAGACAGTTTACAACATACTAATGGCAAAAACATCAATGCCAACATACATGTAAAAAGAAAAATCATACTAAATACTAACATATAACTATAAATTAAAATCATCAAAACCATAGAACATGAGACATAAACATTCAAATATCTAAAAAGCATTAAAAACATCTTAATATAACTACTAAAATCACATGATTCAAAAATCATACACCGTAGCCGTTCTGATTGTCATTGCACATATGTCTTAATTATTCTTTGCACTGTATTATTTCCCTGGCCAAAGGCTTAGTCCAACAAACATGTCTTTGCTTTCTTTCTAAAGGCCAGGAGGGAGGGTGCTGATCTAATCTCACTGGGGATTTATTTATTTATTTATCGTGCCGGGAGCAACCAGACATTTGTATTACATTTTTAACAAAAACAAACAGACAAGACACAAAGTTTGCAAGTTTGTTAGTTGATTAAATGTCCTTTGACCAGTATCTGGCCACTTGGAGTGCCTCTGGTGTTGCCGCAAGAAGGTCCTCCATTGTGCATGTATTAGGGCTCAGGTTGCATTGCAGTAGGTGGTCAGTGGTTTGCTCTTCCCCACACTCACATGTCGTGGATTCCACTTTGTAGCCCCATTTCTTAAGATTGGCTCTGCATCTCACTAGGGAGAGAGTTCCAGAGCCAAGGGGCCACCAATGAGAAGGCCCTGTCTCTCATCCCCACCAACCACACTTGTGATGGAGTCAGGAATGAGAGCAGGGCCTCCCAGAAGATTTTAACCTCCCTGATGGTTGCATCTTGCATTGGAGAAGGGTCGCTCCTGATGGTTTCAGGGCCTAGATTGGCTTTCATGAGAAAATATGATTTGGGCCACGTAGAGCTTTATGGGACACAACCAGCACTTTGAATTGTGCCTTTGTAAACTGTAAAGAAAGACATAGGGCACTTGGAGAACTATGGGAAGGGAGGGAAAAGCTCAGCAATCATTGCCAAGTGGCATGTCTATGACAGAGGGCAATTGGCCAAAAAGGCGGTTTCTTTTCCACAGAAGCACGGAGTATCTTGGGGTGGCAACAAAGACAGACAATCGACAGATGAACCAATAGGCTCATAGTTTGGGGGTCACATAGGAGATGAGAAAATTAGCGTAAAGAGCAGCAATTTATAGCAACAGTTATTTTGTTGAACTTTTGTGGATCGAAACTTCTTTGCACATCAGCAGAAGCTGATCATTTACCACTTTCTCAAAGCATTACATCCACTTTAATTAAAGGGACCTAACTCTCCATGGCACAGCAAAGCAAGTGAACTGAGCAGCTAACCCAAAACCTTTTTACAGCCATATCGCGTCAAGCAATAAAACCAACACCCCAAACTAGAGATGTGTTGCCTGTGCCAGATGCCCCGCTCAGCACTCCGAAGCAGGGGGAAACCTACAAATATTCTGTCTTCCTCTCTCTGTTCTCCCAGCTGATGAAAAGCTTACATGGCATCTTCTATAAGGATTTTATTACAGAACATCTGAAGAAGAAAGGGACATTTGTGAAGCGTATTCAACTCAGATGAAAGGTTGCCACTGAGTGCTAAGATGTAATAAAAAAATCCTGCTGCTAAAACAATGTGAACCTGCTTCTCAGCTCAACATACTGATGATCCAGCATAATCAAAGGGAAAAAAATACATGAGCTCATCTTATGTATGCCAACAACAATCCACATGAAATATTTTTCTCCATCTGGTGAAATTCTCCAGGGAAATGAAGTTTATTTAAGCAATATTTTAGAGAGCTACAAAAAAGAAGCAAGAAAATCAACTTTTTGCTGCACCAAAGACGACAATGAGCATAAAAGAGACCACCAATGATGTGTCATTATTTGTTCTTCGAATACATTCCAAACCTTGCAAAAGTTAAATGTGAGGAGTCTTTCAACTTTCAGGGAAATGCAGTATCTAACATTCAGCCATTTTAACCTGTGGTCCCAGGTGACCAAGGCCCTCATAGAGGATCAGCAAAGGTTTGAAGAAACATCTTAGAGCAGTGGTTCTCAACAGTGGGGTCCCCAGATGTTTTTGGCCTACAATTCCCAGAAATCCCAGCCAGTTTACCAGCTTTTAGGATTTCTGGGAGTTGAAAGCCAAAAACATCTGGGGACCCCAGGTTGAGAACCACTGTCTTAGAGGAAGGGGCTTGCCCAGCAAGTAGGAAGTCCTACTGCTGACACTGTGCAGCCTAGTCAGGTGGAGGGTCAGAAAAGCACAACAACACTGCAATTGGTGAAGGAAGCTGTTCTTAGTGGTCAATTCCCTCTTGCAGCTTCTTCTGAGGCAATCTTGCCAACACATCACAGTTGCTAGAAAGGGTCCAACTCCTCCTATATGCCCTGGGAAGTTTCTCCCAACCAGCAACAGAGAGGAAAAATAGCAACATAGCCACATAATATTGCTCTTCCACGGCTACCCTAACTAAGCTAGGCAACACTGGCTCATACTACATCTGCCATGTTCCAGGACTCACCTGGTATCAAAGGCTGTAGTTTAGTCAAATGAAATAAGTCAAGACCGTATTTACTTAAAAACATAACGTAAGTCTTGAGTCTTTCAACAAAACAGAATTGCACACACAGCTGGAGTAACAGGGGACACACGTCAAGGTCAAGAGTCCAACTAACGCAAACAAGCCAAGCACAATAGAGCTAGATTAAACAGCCGCTAAAGTTGCCGTCCAATAGTTAGATGCCAGGAATTCACTTATGAGAGTTCATAAGACAAGTCCAAGAGTATTAACCAAAATCCAAATCCAGAAATCAAGCCCAGATGTCAGTCCAAAAATCAGTCACGGATTCAGGATTACAAGAACAAAGTCATAGCCCAGAACTCTAACACAGGGGCAGCAGAGCCAAGATCCAAGACAAAGATACGAAGGTACGACATTATCTGCTACCAAAGAGCTATACTTTTGCAGGCTCTTTCATCATGAGATTTCAACAAGCCTTCACAGATCACCCCAGAAGTCTGTGGTGCTTTCTTTAAGGTCAGATTAGAATCATAGAATCATAGAGTTGGAAAAGATCTTGTGGGTCATTCAGTCCAACCCCCTGCCAAGAAGAAGGAAAATTGCATTCAAAGCACCCCAACAAATGGCCATCCAGCCTCTCTTTAAAAGCCTCCAAAGAAGGAGTCTCCACCACACTCCAGGGCAGAGAGTTCTACTGATGAACAGCTCTCACACTCAGGAAGTTCTTCCTAATGTTCAGATGGAATCTCCTTTCCTGTAGTTTGAAGCTATTGTTCCACGTCCTAGTCTCCAGGTCAGCAGAAAACAAGTTTGTACCCTCCGCCCTATGACTTCTTCTCACATATTTATGCATGGCTATCATGTCTCTTCTCAGCCTTCTCTTCTTCAGGCTAAACATGCCCAGCTCTTTAAGCTGTTCCTCATAGGGCTTGTTCTCCAGACCCTTGATCATTTTAGTCACCCTCCTCTGGACACATTCCAGTTTGTCAATACCACTCTTCAATAATGGTGCCAAAATTAACACCTTCTGAGGTTGAAGAAGGTGTTGATTAATGAAGATTAACGCCTTCTGAGGTTGTGGCAATACTGAGAAGAGTCCTCCTCTGCTGGAGACCTGTCCCCAGCAACAGCCAAGCCAAGTCACACAAACTGATGCCCAAGACTACTTCTCTGGTGGTTCCTGCTGGAGGTCTACCAATGTGGCAGGTTCAGGCCAGAATGTCTATGTCAGGGCTGAAGGTCAAGCTGAAGTTCCTCAAGTCCATCTTTGGCAAGGACAACAAGTACTTCTCCTAGAAGCTCAACAGACTCCACCGACAACTTGTGTTGCTTCCACTGCTGCTGCCTCACACTGCTGGCAGGGCAATGGGTGACAGCCCTGTCATTCGTACAGGAGGATGTCCATCTCTGCAACTCACTATCCACTGCTTCCTCATAAGCAGTTTGAAGTGAAGCGGTGGCAGCCATACCCTCCTTACCAGCAAACACCATTTTCTGGATTATTTCCCCTCAAAACTGACACTGAGAGGCAAAGTGGCAGGGAGGAATAACAGGGAGAAGGAAAGAGGAGCAGAACTTCAGATTCATTGTTGAATGACAAAAAAGTAGTATTTGGACATGGTTCAGTGTTTAGATACTGTTTTTGTTTGGTGTTTTGAAATTGTTGTTGTTGATGGAATCATTCCAATAAAAATATTTTAACAGGAATGCATACATTTACTTATTTCACCCTTCTCTCCATATTCAAGAGATCTTAAAGAAATATTTGATGCACTTCAGGATTTTAAATCTTAAGTTAATTCTTAGTGGTTATGGCAACACAAGAGTTATCCATGGTAAAGGAACTGTTATAATAATAATAATAATAATAATAATAATAATAATCCTTTATTGATATCCCGCTACCATCTCCCGCAGGACTCGGTGCGGCTTACAAGAGGCCGAGCCCAAATACATCAATAAAACAGCAACGACCACAATACAACAATAAATAAAGTCATAAACAAAGCAAAACAATAACAATAATATCACGACGCATTAAAAACCTGTGGCAGGGCCAAATGTAATGGTTAAAATTTTAAAATGCTAGGCATGTCCAAGTGAAATAGGATAGATATTTTAGGGATAGGTGGGCGAGCAGACAATCCTAAATTTCTCGTAAAGACACATTGCTTGGATTTCCTTATTCTGGGAAGGCACACTGGAACATCCATGTTTTCAAGCTCCTGCCTGATGTCCTTGGGGAGGGAGTTCCAGAGTCTAGGGGCCACCACCGAGAAGGCCCTGTCCCTCGTCCCCACCAAACGCGCTTGCGACGCAGGTGGGATCGCGAGCAGGGCGATCAACCAATGGCTTAAGGTCCATGGTCAAAAGAGAGTGAGAAAACATGTGTTTCTTGATGCCTCAAAGGTTTAATAATTATCAAAAGCAATGGTGTCTAATACTAACCAATAGTTTGCGGCCCATGGTCAAAAGCGAGTGAAAACGTATTTATTTCTTGATGTCTCAAAGCCTCAAACTGCTGTGTTGTCTTGTTTTCCTTTTGTTTCCAAAAAGTTTTAAGGTTATGGTTTAAGACTGTACTTTGTGAAATGTCATCATAGAAGATCCATGTATATTGTCAAGTTCTGGAGTTGCATGGCTTTAACATGACTACTTTTTTTTTCATGTCAGGAGCAACTTGAGAAACTGCAAGTCACTTCTGGTGTGAGAGAATTGGCCACCTGCAAAGACATTGCCTAGGGGACACCTGGATGTTTTGCCATCCTGTGGGAAGCTTCTCTCATGTCCCCACATGGGAAGCTCGAGCTGACAAACTGGAGCTCAACCTGTTCCCCGGATTCAAACCACCAACTTTTCGGTCAGCAGTTCAGCTGGACAAGGGTTTAACCCATTGCGCCACTGGGAGCTCCCAACATGAATATTGATGTGCATTTATAGAAACTGCCACATTTATAGAAACTGTATCACAACCCATGCAAAATATCTGTAGCCTATCCTGAATTTACTGGAAAATGAAATAATATAGAAGTGATCAACAGTAACCATACATATTTATGCCATATAACAGCAACATTATAGTACAACAAAAAGGTAAACAAAAGAAACTGTGAATATTTATGTAAACTACAACCAAAGCCTTAATGGATGCTTGGGCGGATAAGAACTCTTTGCCACCTACACAGTGAACATTATTATTGAAGTTAGAAAAACCAACTGCAAAATTCCTTTGGAGTTTTCCAAGTCAACATTTCACGGGAGCTCAAATTAAATTTCAAGTAAATGTTTAGAATTTGACAACGTCATACTATTTACAAAAACAAAAATATTTAACACCCACATTTTAACACTTTTTTTCCTCTCTTAAACATTGATAAATATGGAAAGATTATCCGGATACGGGAGGAAGCCTCCTCCATGTCTGCTCCCAGGCAATGGAATTTCTCTCCCACAAAAACCTCAGTCATCCTCCACCTTTGCACGCTTCGCCTCGAAGCAAAGACCTCTTTACTGAAAAAGCCATCCAGCTTTTAAATGCCTGTAGCAGAAGTTTCTTTTTAACGGGTGTTGTTGGACCTTTATCTTTACTTTATTTTTATATGCATTTTAAAACATTTCAAATTAATGTTTTACAGGATTGTTTCTTCAATGCATAACCATTTTTTAAAGTGGAAGCATTTCAATTGTATTTTGTTCTAACTCCATGCCAGTGGTTCCCAACCTTTTGTTGACCATAGACCAATTGACCAGGGACCACTCTCCAACATTAGTACCAAAAGGGTTACAAGTTTTTGGTCAACCACGAGAGTAAAGATGAAGATCCACCCAGAGGAAAAGTGTTCCTGCCATACATCAAGGGAACCACTGACCGCATAGGGAAGCTGATGAGGAAACACAACATACAAACTATCTACAGACCCACCAAGAAAATCCAACAAATGCTACGTTCAGCAAAGGACAAGAGGGATCCTCTCACCTCTGCAGGAGTCTACCGTATACCATGCAGCTGTGGACAAGTCTACATAGGGACCACCAAACGCAGCGCCCAGACACGCATCAAGGAACATGAAAGGCACTGCAAACTACTTCAACCAGAGAAGTCAGCCATAGCAGAGCACCTGATGAACCAGCCTGGACACAGCATATTATTTGAGAACACAGAAATGCTGGACCACACCAACAACCACCATGACAGACTACACAGAGAAGCCATTGAAATCCACAAGCATGTGGACAATTTCAACAGAAAGGAAGAGACCATGAAAATGAACAAAATCTGGCTACCAGTATTAAAAAACTCTAAAATTACAACAGCAAAACAACAGAGAGGAAACAACCAGGCACATCTTAACACCTCCCAGCAAGAGATTTTCCCAGGCTCAGGCAGGCCTTCAAATGCTAATGAAGGTGATCAGTTGAAACATTCACACCTAGCTCCAGCAGGGAAGAGCTCTTGCCCCACCCCAGCCATTCCACAGATATATAAACCCATTGTCCTAATTCCAACAGACCTCACTACCTCTGAGGATGCTTGCCATAGATGCAGGCGAAACGTCAGGAGAAATGCCTCTAGAACATGGCCCTATAGCCCAAAAAAACCCACAAGAACCTAGTGATTCCAGCCATGAAAGCCTTCGACAATACATTCAACCTTAGATTTGGTTTGGTTATCTGAAGTCCTGATTCAGAGCTGATGTGGATAGACCACATCAGCTCTAGTTTCTGATACAGAATATATGCCATCCAGTAGTTGCCATCTGCTCGCCCACAGAAAACCACATTTAATACTCTAGAGCTGATGTGGTAGTAGTAATATTTTGTGGCTAGTGGCTAGTCAGCCTCTACCCTCCCAACATCCCCTTTGCCTTGGAACTATAAGAGGGTTTTGGAAGACCAGTTGCTCTTGTTGCCATGTGGTTTTGAAGCAACGGTGTAGTAATGCTGAGGCAAAAGACCATATTTTCATTCTTGGGGATCACTGATGGTCCATGGACCACAGGTTGGGAACCACTGCTCTACACGGTACTATAATCCATCTTATGTCCCTATTGTTAATGACTGAATGAATATTGGGTTGTTGTAGGTTTTACGGCCTGTATGGCCATGTTCTAGAAGCATTCTCTCCTGATGTTTCGCCTGTATCTATGGCAGGCATCTTCAGAGGTTGTGAGATCTGTTGGAAACTAGAAACATTGGGTTTATATATCTGTGGAAAGTCCAGGGTGGGAGAAAGAACTCTTGTCTGTTGGAGGTAGGTGTGGATGTTTCAATTGTCCACCCTTGATTAGCATTTGATGTCCTGACAGTTTTTAGGTGTGCCCTGTTACTACCTGGGGGAATTCTTTGTTGAAAGGTGATTAGCTGTTCCTGATTGTTTCTTCTCTGGGGTTCCCCTGTGTTTGGGTATTGTTTTTTATTTACTGTTACAATTTTAGAGTTTTTTAATACTGGTAGCCAGATTTTGTTCATTGTCATGGTTTTTTCCTTTCTGTTGAAATTGTCCACAAGCTTGTGGATTTCAATGGCTTCTCTGTGTCGTCTGACATGGTAGTTGTGAGAGTGGTCCAGCATTTTTGTGTTCTCAAATGATATGTTGTGTCCAGGTTGGTTCATCAGGTGCTCTGCTATGGCTGACTTCTCTGGTTGAAGGAGTCTGCAGTGCCTTTCATGTTCCTTAATTCGCGTTTGGGCGCTGCCTTTGAATGAATATTTCTGCAGCATTCTGTGTTTTGAAGTGAAAATACAGCAATGCAGATCCACATAATTCCCCATTAGCAGCCAGATACAAATAATACACCGGTGGCAGGATTAAAGGAATGACAAGTCATGCTTTAGTAGACAAGCATTTGAGATTGTTCACATTATTCTACAGAAACTGTTCATGCAAACGATTTCAGTTCCCACAAGTGAACAGCCACCATTACCTGGAATAGCTTCATGGGCTGTCAAAACCACACTGATAATAGGATTCTTAGCTCCCGAGACCTGGTCTGTGTCCTTTGCAGAAAGGCTCTTCTCACTTCTCTGGAGCCGTTGCCTCTTTGGTGCTTTTTCTCGCTCATCTTCCCTCCTGTCAAGGTCAACGTCAGAATCATTACCTAAAGAGCAAACATTGAAAATAATGTAAAAGGATAATCATGAACACTCCTTCTCTTCCTTTTCTTCTTCTATATACAGCTTCATACACCACCATCAAGGCAGAATTCCGAAATCCAAAATCTATTGTACTCCAAAGCTGGGAAGCACCTCTGCACTTAACACACACTCATGCTCAAGGTAAAACAACAAGCAGTTTATTATATATATATATATATGAAGCAATTTAGCTAAATAGTATAAGGAACCAAAGTCCAAGAATCAGAGATGATCCACAAAAATCAAGGTACATGAGTAGCATCCAAAAACCAAGAATACAAGAGCAAAATAAATCCAAAACATGAAATTCAGGAACAGTCCTCAACATTTGGAAAAATGAACAAACAGGAAACGTGAACATGGCACTAGAAATCCTTTGACTTGACAGAAGTTTGGAGAACAAGCCCTATGAGGAGCGGCTTAAGGAGCTGGGCATGTTTAGCCTGAAGAATTGAAGGCTGAGAGGAGATATGATAGCCATGTAAATATGTGAGAGGAAGCCACAGGGAGGAGGGAGCAAGCTTGTTTTCTGCTTCCTTGGAGACTAGGACGCGGAACAATGGCTTCAAACTACAAGAGAGGAGATTCCATCTGAACATGAGGAAGAACTTCCTGACTGTGAGAGCCGTTCAGCAGTGGAACTCACTGCCCCAGAGTGTGGTGGAGGCTCCTTCTTTGGAAGCTTTTAAACAGAGGCTGGATGGCCATCTGTCAGGGGTGATTTGAATGCAATATTCCTGCTTCTTGGCAGGGGTTGGACTGGATGGCCCATGAGGTCTCTTCCAACTCTTTGATTCTATGATTCTATGAATATATGAAGCAATTTAGCTAAATAGTATAAGGAACCAAAGTCCAAGAATCAGAGATAATCCACAAAAATCAAGGTACATGAGTAGCATCCAAAAACCAAGAATACAAGAGCAAAATAAATCCAAAACATGAAATCCAGGAACAGTCCTCAACACTTGGAAACATGAACAAACAGGAATCATGAACATGGCACTAAAAATCCCTTGACTTGACATAAGTTCTATATTCAAACACCCATGTTGCTTCAACTCTGCTGGCCTAGCTAATATAGAGAGAAAGACATGCCTTTTCCCCTGGAAAACTGATTAAGACTTTTTTTTGCTAACAAGTGTCTTGACCTTCAGACTTTTTTATGTGCAACCTTATGTTAACGAAACGTAAATCTTCTATCTAATTGCTCATTAGTCTGTCCACCTGGATTTCCACTATCATCCTGTGGGCTCGGCTCTGATGGGATGTGGCCTTCACACAGAGACCGCTCATTTTCAGGGCCTAAAATCTCTAGCTGCTCCTGCTGACTTTCCTCCTGACTTGTAGATCTAGAATCCCTTGTGACAACAGGCTGACTAACAGGTGCAGAATCCCCAGAGAGATTACGTGCAAGCGCAATCAAAGGCTGAATTACAACAAAATCCTACAAAATCCAAAACTGTCCATGTGGATGATTGAGAGAGTGATATATTTGCTTTATGATGGTTCAATGTATACAAGCTTTGTTTCGTGTGCGAAATTATGAAAAGTATTCAAAAAACTCTAAAATTAGAACACAACTAGCCATCCCCTGCCACACGTTGCTATGGCCCAGTCTGGTGATCTGGAAAATAAAGTAATGAGAAAGTTTGAGTTTCTAATATATGTAATTTCTTTATGCTTGTGGGTAAACAGTATTTGATTATGTTTTCTTGCCATGGTGAAGAGTGTTGGACTGGATGGCCTTAAGTATTTTCTATTGGTTATAGGGGTTCTGTGTGGGAAGGTTGCCCCAATTCTATTGTTTGTGGGGTTCAGAATGCTCTTTGATTGTAAGTGAACTATAAATTATTTATTTATTTATGTATTTATGTACAATAACTACAACTCCCAAATGTCAAGGTCTATTTCCCCCAATTCCATCTGTGTTCTTAGTTGGGCATATGGAATATTCGTGCCAAGTTTGGTCATGATCCATCATTATTTGAGTCCACAGTGCTCTCTTGGTGTAGGTGAACTACAACTCCCAAACTCAAGGTCAATGCCCACCAAACCCTTCTAGTATTTTCTGTTGGTCATGGGAGTCCTGTGTGCTACGTTTAGTTCAATTCCATCATTGGTGGAGTTCAGGATGCTCTTTGATTGTAGGTTAACTATAAACCCCAGCAACTACAACTCCCAAATGGCAAACTCAATTTTTTTTAGTGATGGTCACTCCTTGGGTTAGTAGGTGTCATGTGGCCAAATTTGGTGGCAATTTGTCCAGTGGTTGTTGGATTATGTTAATCCCACAAACGAACATTACATTTTTATTTATATAGATTACCTCCAGGATATGTTATAAGGTGTATATGAAACTTGGGTCCCACCTCCAAGAAATCTCAGTCAAGAAATCAAAAGAAGCCTAAGATTCACTTTGAATGTGGCAATGAAAGAAAGTTCGACAGATACCAGAGACTGCCAAAAAAGACAAATAATTGGGTCCAGGATCAAATCAAGTGTGAACTTTCATTAGAAGGCAACATGACTCAGCCAAGGTAATTAGTGTATTTTGAACACATCCTGAGCCAACATGACTTAATGGAAAATATTATAATGCTGGGGAAAAGTGAAAGATGTTAGGAAAAGAGGAAAAGCACATAACAACTAGATTGTTTCAATGAATGAAGCCTAGACTCTGAGTTAGCACGATCTGAACATGGTTACTGTTGGTAGGGGCTCATGGAGGTCTCAACATAAGTCAAAGCTGTCTTGACAGAAAACAACAATAACAAGCAGGACTGGGTATAAGGTTATAGAGGAGACTGAAGAATGGATCCGATGAATAATTGAATCCTTCCACTATATCGTTTAGAAAAGAAAGCGAAGGCTGTATTCAGTGAAGCTGTTTCTCCAATTCAAAACTCACACGCAGACAAAATGACTTAATTTAACACACTGAATAAATCTGTCAGGAGGAGATGGCATAAAGTTAATGAGCAAATAAAGTCTGGGGGGAATTGTGAAAAGGATGCCAAAATAACAGGTAATAGAGTCAAAAGAGCAGATTAAGCGTGTGTGAATGAGAGGAAACAAAGCTCAAGTACCAACAAAATCAACTAATTCAATAGTTAGATTTCTCCCGATTTATATGATCAAAGAACACAGATCATTTCATACTTCGAAAGCAATGAAAAACAAACAAAAAAATCAGAGAAAGGATTCCTACAGCCTTGGATCACTCTGACAAACAGGAAAAATGAGCAAGAATACATCCAACCTACCATATCGTTCCCTATCAGAGAAGCTATTCCGCTTTTCCTAAAATTTCCTTTTCATAACAAAGAATGGAACAAGGGGTTGGTAGAACTGGGAAAGCATCATGGCAGACAAGTTACACACAAGAGCAACTTACAGGCCAGGCTTCAGCACAGCAGGTTGATTACCAACTGCAGTAAATCTTGTCAACCGAAAGGCTGACAGTTCAAAGCCCGGGTCAAGGTGAGCTCCTGACCTTCAGCCCAGCTCCCTGCTCACCTAGCAAATCGACAACAGAAATGTGAGTAAATAAATAGGTAGTGTGTTAAAGCGGAGAGGTATTTAGTAGTCATGTGCATGAAATTTGTTCCTACTGTTTCATTCGTGTCTTCCACTTCTTAGGAAGCATGAAACAGGAAGCCCCCTTCACACATGGAAATCTGCTGGTTTTTGTCTTGAGCCAAATTTGCCTCCTTGCCTGAATTTGGGCAGGCCTGGAGCTAGGCTGCAGACATACTCCAGGTCTGCCTGCAAGCCCTGCCACACACACATACTCTCCGAGTATATGGCAGAGCCTGTAGGCGTGCTCCGGTCTGCCAGAAGGCCCCACCACACTCTCTCTCTCGCTCGGAGAGTGTGCCGGGGCATGTGTGGAGTGCTCCGGGCCTGCAGGCGTGCTCTGGGCCTGCCTGCAACTGAGCGCCTTACTCCAGAGGTGCAACAGCAGGTGCTAGGTAAGAAGGGGTGCCAGTGAGGTTTCAAAAACGGATTGGGGCCCCCAATGAAAGGGGTTTATCCCGAAAGCACAAGACTAGTATTTATGCACGGCAATTCAATCACTAAGAGGGAAGTTAATGAACAAAAAAAGCTTTAGGGCAGGGAATATGGAGTGACAGCACCCCCCCCCTCCCCCAAGGCCAGAATCAAGAATAGCCTCCAAGATGCCAAAAAAAATGGGAAAACCTATATATACACCTGTACCTATGTTGGCTGTCCTGTCATTGTATAATTGGCATTGAATGTTTGCCATATATATGTTCTGTGATCCACTCAGAATCCTATTTGGGGTGAGAAGGGTGGAATATAAATACTGTAAGTAAAAACATAAAATACAGTCAATTTTTTAAAATTACTGGTACTCTGAGGTATGATGTCCAGCACCATTAAAATGCTTTTACAGTCCACATATAGTAAGTGTTTAGGGTAATTAAAGCATTTCACACATTGTTTATCGTAATCTTATTCTCATAAAGAGTCTGTTTAAAATGGACCGGGAGAAAATCAATCTGATTTTAATTCAATGTTAATAATTCACTATGTTGTCTAAATGTGAAAACACATACTTCTCTGACATAGTAATTTTGTAAGAGATGGAGGCAATGGGACAAGCCACAATCTGGACAATACACACTCAGCAACACAGTCAGTCTGTATTGATAGGTGCCAAATTGGCGAAGAAAATCAGCCACGAGGCTTCTGTATATCCTCCTGTTAAGCTGAGCTGATAGTTACACCCAGCACCAGGACGTTGAAGCACATAACGTCGCCTCTCTTTCTAAAATTGAGCGCTCCATTTCTCACAAGCTGGACTTCTCTAGTCCTCCATCTCTTCTCCATCTCATTTACAAGCTGTTTGGGCTGACTATCAAGCCCATTCCACTCCGAATGACCAAAACAAACCCTTTTGTGAGGACGTTTCCACTCTTCCCTCCCAACAGCTTGATTG